GGTGAAGTAAATAGGAGTGAGTTATGGGGACAAAAGAGGAAAAGTAATTTTTTTTAAAAAAAGAGGCATCTGGAACAGACCTATTCTAATAAATGCCATGAAATGAGGAATGTAATTAATTTAACCCTCAACACTCCAGGGAAGAAAGGAAGGGAATAAAGGGAAGAAGTAGTAGAGGCGGTGGAAACGAAAGTTTGGGGGATGGCTAGAAACAACTTTGAGCAATACCCAGCCAGATCTTTGGAGCCCAAGAGGTAGAGATTAAAATAGTATCAGACTAATAATAATAGCTAACACTTAGCTAAAACTAACTATGTGGCAGACACTTTTCTAAGCACTAGCCATATATTAACCAACAACCCTATGAGGAAAAATTCCAAACAATCCTTGATATCCCATGAATCAATGGAAGATAACGGTAGATTTCTGTGTTAGCCAAGGGCATTGTACAAAGGAGAGTTTGGACAGGAATCTAAAGAAAGTTTGGGCAAAGAAACACAGCTGCTGCCAGGGCTTTGTTTGAAGTTCTTTCTTTGAAAGCTAAAGGCTCAGAAAAAACAAAAAGAGTTACTGTATGGACATGAAGATAGTTAGGTACTTTATAGAGACCACTACACATTTGAGTTAGAAGAAATCCTAGATAACATGTAGTCCAGAGTTTTCAAAACAATTTAACGAGAGGACCCTTTGTGCAAGCCAAATCATAATGTGGCTCCAATATATAAAAATACAGTGGGGTGCTCTGGTTGAAGAGGAGAGGGCCCAGTCTCAACGAGACTACCTCCACATCTCCAACCTAATTTCCCACCTCCCCCCACTCCCTGCTGTGTCTCCCAGGGCCCAGGGCACCATCTCACAGTGGAGAGGATGATGCTCCAGACACCTGCTCACAATCACAACTTAGGGTCTTCCAAATTTCAGCCCAAGTCATTGCTGCCTCTGGCCTTGCCCCATGCGGTTATGGGCAAGAACAGACCGGGCCCATCCACAGGATGCCTAGCTTTTTTTTTTTTTTTTTTAATAACAGCTTTATTGATATACAATCCACATGCCACAACACTCACCCTTTTAAAGTCTACAATTCAGTGGTTTCTAGTACATTCACAGGTTGTGCAACAATTGCCACAATCTAATTCCAGAACATTCTCATCACCCCCCCAAAAAATCCTGTACTCATGAGCAGTCACTCCTCATTCTTCCCCTCCCCCAGCTCTTGGCAACCACTGATTTACTTTCTGTCTCTGTGGATTCGCCTGTTCTGGACATTATATATATATGGAATCATACAATATGTGACCTTTTGATGCCTGGATTTGGGGGAAAATTTTCAGACAACAGAACATCACTGTCCCCTCTGTCCCCTTGTTATAGTGCCAGGCTTTCAGACTACCTCCAGACCTCAGCCAGAACCCAGCGTCCTCACCCTGTTACAAGCAGCGACCAGCCAGGATGAAAGGCCCTGAGGAGCTACACTGTGGAGCAGCTGGCCCTGAGCACAGAAAGGTCAGGCCAGGGATTTCCCTGAAACACAAAGCAACAGCCAGCTAAATGGATGTCAAGGTTCAGCCAGTCAAAATTATAACCGCATCTTTGATACGCAAAAAGCCTCTTTTTACTATTTTTCCTTAGTAAGTCCAACTTAATATGTTAACATTAGGTAATAGGCAGAAGTTACAGAGGGGAGAATGTACTTGAGTCAGACAAGAGTCACTTGGTCACTACTTAAGCCTCAGTTTTCTTATCTGTAGAATGGCAGTAATGATACCTACTCTGCAGGTGGTTGTGAGGATTACAAATAACGAAAGTGCCCAGTGTGGACCAGGAATACAGTGAGTATTGAATAAAAGGCTAGCTCGGTTTGTGAGGAAGTGTAGCTTAGCGGTAAGAGGGTGGCCTGCGGAGACAGCCAGATCTGGACGTGAGAAGAATCTGCAATGCAGGCGCAGCCAGAGGTGGGACACTTGCCCCCTGGCGCAAGTCCAAGGGAGCACCAATGGCGTCACTAGAGGGGTACGGGGGTGCGGACTGCACCAGGTGACACTGTCATTGGGGGTGACACCACACGGTCCAGAAATATATCCAAGACCAAACTATGCAGGACTTGGGCTGCTCCAGAAAGCACGTGCCCGCTTCAGCCAAGTTTGGGCGTTGCTCTCTGCTGCCACGGCTCTCGCTGTCTCCCGGGATGATTCACCTGCTGGAGGGCGCCGTCGCCGCCCGCCTGTCAGCCTGCCCGCCGCCCCCTGGGACGCGGGCGCGGGGGCGTGCGGCTTCTCCTTTTCGTCACAGCTCTGTGTTTTCAAGGAGCCCTGGTGGCACAGCGGTTGAAGCGCTCCACTGCTGACCTAAAGGTCTGTGCTTCGAAACCACCAGTGGCTCCGCGGGAGAAAGATGTGGCCCTTCGGCTTCCGTAGAGATTTACAGCCTTGGAAACCCTATGGTTCCGGAATCGACTGGATGGCAGTGGGTTTGGTTTGGTATTATGTATTCATCTTAAAATTTGGTGGGGGGAGGCGCAATTTAGAGATTGCCCCTGGGCGCTAGTTACCCTCGCTATGGCCCTGATCTGCAGCTCAGTTTCCTCATCTGTAACACTGAGAAGGTGGTAGAACCTACCTCATAAAGTCATTTGGAGGATCAAACAAGGCGATACTGGCCACTGAATAACCACCATAGCAGGCAGTAGCCTAAGCACTGTATATGGATGAACTCATTCAATCCTTTCACTAACCCTAGGAGGTAGGTGCCATTCCTTTCCCCAACATATATTTGAGGAAACTGAGGTCCAAGTTAAGTGACTTGCCAAAGGTTACCCAGTCAATTAATGCTAGTGCTGGTATTTGAACCCAAGCATTCTGACTCCACTGCCCACATGCTTCACTATTACTCTAGGCTGACAAGTTTTTAGCACAGTGCCTGACACAAAAGAAGTCTTCAATAAATAGCAGCCATTGCAATTGTGAAATAATAATAATAAACATGCTTTGACAGCTGTATTGGGTTACGGGGTTTGACTAAATCCTTAACTTTGACTTTGCTGGAGGATAGCGGCTGAGTCTTACCCATCTTTGTATCCAAGAGTACTTGGAGTACAGTGCCTCGCACAGAGTAGGGACTCCATAAATGTTGTTGGATGAATGAACAAGCTTCTCAAATTGATATATTTCTCAATATACAACACAGTGGCCCTTTTGGGAAAGGCTGGTGCTGACTGAGCTGCAGTTGGAGAGGGCCATGGATTCAACCCTCTTTGCCCGACCCTTTGCTTCCTAGGTCATTAAAGGGCCATGATTCTCATAAACATCTTAATTGGTCTACTCTTGTTGCATAATCTCCACTCACTGGCCCTCCCTACCTTTCATCACCCAGTTCTAGACAACCACACCCAACACCATGATGATCCTCTCCTCCGCACACAAACACACACACACCTGGCCGATTAGACTCTAGGCCTTTCCCTCTCTATCTTGCACAAGATCCATTCTCTGCCTGTCAGTGATGTGCCTGCTTCCTCAGACCTCCTAGTTCACCCATATATCCATGACTTTGGTTATCAAAGCTGTTGAACTCCTTCTTTCTGGGTAATCAAAGCATCCAACTCAAGATAGGACTCTGCAGCTACAGAGGTGGAGTAAGCTCAAGACTTCTTCATTATCAACCCGTTAAAATCACCGCCTGTTGGAACTGACAGAAACTCCCTTGTGCCCTTGTGGGAGACCTGGGGTTTCTACTTTGCAGTTTAGCATCCTGGGGCTCTCTGGGTTTCCTCCAGGTCTTGTTGACATGGAGCTCTGAACTCCGAGAGCCCATAGACAAGCCTGCCACACATCACACACATGCACACAGACCGCATCAAGCTTTGTCCCACAGGGAATGTTTATACAAAAGACCTGAATCCTCAATAAACACTAAGTTATGGGCAGAGCTGGCCTCCCTGGATTGGACTAGAAAACGCTGTTAGCAAAAGCCTTATTGGCCTCTTTCCCCAGATAACAAGGATAATAACGTCCTGACTGTGATGTAGACGGGTATGCATGCTAAGAGGCTAGAGCTGGCCTAGGCATGGGAGTTTGGGTGATGGAGAGGGCCAGGAGCAGGAGTCTACACTTGTCCTCTTACTGCCAGAGTGTGACTCATTTCAGGTGTCAGTTCCCTCAAGATCCCCCCCACCTCCTCCTGCTCGCTCCTCTTGTCACACACAAACCAACTTCCATTTGCCTTCTTTTCCCCATATTCATTTTTTTCAGATTTTCTTCTACTAATGGAGCCCTGGAGACGCAGTGGTTAATCGTTTGGCTGCTAACCAAAAGGTTGGCAGTTCGAGTCCATCAGCTGCTCCTTGGAAACCCTATAGGACAGTTCTACTTTGTCCTGTAGGGTCACTAGGAGCCAGAGTCCCCTCAATGGCAACGGGTTTGGTTTTTTTTTAAAATGTAGCATCCATTGCCTATCTGAACAGCTACTTTCCTATTTTCCCACAATCCCTAACTCCCTGTCAGGCCCCCAGGCCCCTTAAACTGCTGACAACTCCAAATTCAAGGTCATGTTATTAAGATGCCATCCTTTTCTGGCCCATAGCCTATACCACAACTCAGACTCACATTTCCCTTCCACATGCCCGTCAGCATTAAGTCCACTCTCTGTGCTCCAGAGGTACTAACGCATTTGTAAGTTTTCTAATTACTTGGCCTCTTATCTCATTCCTGTCTTGGACCTGGACAATTCCCAGTGAGGCTCTTAGGAATATTCCATTGGGTTGGCCAAGCTCAGAAAAAGGAAGGGCACCAAGTCGAGGAAGTTCCAGCTTTAAAATAGGCCCAAGTATGTGAAGCCTAAGGTCAATAATGGGACAATTGAGACGGAGAGGGCTTCCTTCCAAATGTCCCTTGGTGGGGACTGGGTGAGGCTGGTGCAAGAACAGTTCAGAAAGGCTAATCCGTGAACTATTGTATTTTTGATATTTCTGTGGGACACTTTCCCTCCCAGGCAGGGCTTCCTACCTGTGCACATGACAGCAGCAAAGACCCAGCACTGCCCGTAGCGCACTGGCTGGCAGCCTGTGGCGTGCCACTGCTTCAGGATGGCCACACTGCCGGTCCACTCCACAGGGTTGATACCATCTGAGTAATTCTCGCTCCAGTTTCCACTGAGCACCCCATTGTCATCGTTGCTGTTGATCTGAAGAGCAGCCACATATAGAAGCATTAGAATCATCCTTTTCCTCAACAAGACATGACATGTGGCTGATTTGGAAGGCCCATGAGCCTGAGACACAGAAGAGGCTTTTGACCTCATTTTACCTGAGAACTTTCAGACCTGCTGGGTAAAGGGGTGGGGCGGGGATGGGGGCGCTGGCTATTCTGACTTGTGCTCCACTATTAATTAGTTTATGATTCTGTTTCTATCCACCACCAACACCCTGCCCTCCAAACTGGAGCTTGGCTCTGAGAGCTTTTAAAAATATTCAGAGCAAAGAAAATCTAGAACTGGGGCTACACTCAGTCCTTCCCACACAATTTGGAATTAAAAGAAGTGGTTGCCAACGCCCAGCTATCTCAGAGCTCAGCTGAAAAAACCTGTCATAGCCACCTTCTGGTGTCAGTCTCATCCAAAATGGTTTTGCCAGTGGGCCCCCTGCCTCTTGACTCTTCGAACCCCCATTGCAGGGGGCAACTTTGAGTGGGCAGGGATCCCCCTGCACAGCTTCCTCCCTCCCTGGACATGCCTGGACCTCACCATGGCGCACACCACTCTACTGATGTAGACGGGGCTTCCTCTCAGGACACAGTCCGTGGCTGGGTCCATCTGGAAGTTCAGGCTCTTGTCTAGCAGCTGCAGGCAGATGTCTATGATGTTCTTTTCAAACTGCAAGGGGAGATGCAGACAGGTGAGGTGCCTATCCATGGTACATGGGTATACATGAAGAAATTCATGACCCACCTTGCTCTGCTCTCTGATGCAGTGGGTTCGTGGAATCTAGATTCATTTGGGAGATAGCTGTGCTAAACAGAAAGGTCATTAACTGCATTGCAGGCAGGTGAGGGGCTTCAAAGCTCTGGGGCCATGACTCACCTGGTTTGTGAGCCCTGCAAGCCAAAGCTCCCCCTCATTTTGAAGTAGCTGCTGCTACTGCCGGTTTTGTTTGTTGTTTTGTTTTTTCCCAACAAGCCTAACTAGCTGAAAAGTTTGTTTTTCCCTTTCCCGTCTTCAGTCTCCACACTTCTAGAGCCCCTGGGATGTTCTTGCTAAAACCACATTGCCTCATCTTTCCCGCCATCTGTTGACCCAGCTCATGATTGGCAAATATTGCTGAGATGATGGCGCCAACCTACCAAGGCACCCATAATTCAGTGGGGCTCTGGAGTGACTAATTCTATGTGAGCTACGGAAACTTCCCACTCAAGGCAGGTTGGCTCCTCCTTGCCCTTAGGCTCCGCATGAGTGCCACTTCCACTGGGAACTTGCCTGAGCCCGAACCTGGTTTAGTTGGATATGTCCCCTGCACTCATCAGAGTCAGCTACGATGATATAGTTGAGGTCTATCTTTCCCACCTGAGTGGACATTCTGCTGCTCTCCAGCTCTTTTCACAGCTCTAGATCCCAGGCCTGACACAGTGCCCAGCACATAGCAGGGACTCCATACATGTTGGCTGAATGAGTGTAAATGAGTGGATTTATTCCCTTATAACACTGGGTAATAAAATGAATTTGGAGGCTACTCTGATCCATATTCCCCAGGGGACAGTCTGACCAGTTCACTCTCTGCTTTAAAACTTCCAAAGGCTCCCTATGTCCTACAGAACAAAAACTCCAGCCTCCTTATAAGGCACGCAAGACCCTCCCTGATCTGCCCACCACCTGCCTCTCCAGCCTCATGTCTCAATAACCCCTGCCTCACCATTTTTGCTCCGGCAGTATCAGACTCCTTGTAACTGCGGTAGCAGGCATACCATTTCTCATCTTTGTTCAAGCCTTCCCTCTGCCTAGAATATTCTTCCATCCTCCCTTCACTTGGCTAACTAAGTACAGACACTAATTCCTTTCCTATGAAGCTTCCCCCAGCGCCCACCACACCCAACCAAGTGTCCTTCCTCCAGACTCCCAAACCCCTATGCCCTTCTCTCAATATTTTCATTGAGGTAACCGCGTGATAACTAAAGTGTTCATGTGTCTGCGTCCCCACCATTCTGTGGGATCAGGGACAATGTTTTATTCATCTTTATATCTCCGGTACCTAGCACCCTGCCTAGCACTGAGCAGGCATTCAATATACATTTACCGAACAAGAGAGATAGAAAAAGAGGGAACTGGAGCTCAGAAAGCAGCAACTCCTCACTTCTGTTTTTGGCAGATGGCAGCAAACTCCTGTCTAGGGGCTCTGCTCGATCCCCAATGTGTCCATGATGAATGAGCAGTTGGAGATGTCAATTGGGGGCAGTTGAGGCTGCCATGTCTCATCTTGGCTATAGATACACCAGGGCCAAGGCTGGGCCTGAAGACCCCATGTAGCAGAGTTCTATCTGGGCAAGTCCAGGAGAGGAACCCATATTAAACTGACAAAAGGCTCCACAAGAACCCCTAGGGCCTCGCCGATGAGCCTCTCCCTCCCCACAGTGTTCTGGTGCCAGGGCTCGGCCCAGCGCACCCTCTCCACTGGCCTGGCACTGGACTTCCAGGAGCGTCTGCTATGGGCCAAGCTTTAAGAGAGAGGCTAGTTTTTATGAAAGCAGAAGTCGCAGAGCATCCAGATTAGTATGATGTGATTTTTACAAATAAAATCATATGTTTTAGAATATGTGAAATACAATGAAAATACAATGTACAGGAATATACACCAAGCTGGTGACAGTGCTTAGGGCGACCTTCAGGTTCTAGATACCCATTTCTGTAATATTTCTTTGAAAAGTTCTTTTTAAAACAATTGTGTATTACTTTTGTAATGAAAAGGACATATAATTGAAACAAACAAAGAAATAAAAAGGCAATAGTAACTGGGAGGGAGATGCATTGCCGCTCATCAGCCCTGCTTTTCTATGGAATGTTCAGGGGAAAAGTGACAAGATGAATCTGAGGTTCCTTCACCTGGGTCTGTGAGGATGAGGGGAGACAGTGGAAAAATGGGGACCCCTGGAAACAAGGTTAACAAACAAAAATATCAGGCACCATCATTGTCACCATCATTGCTGTCCCTTTCACCCTCATACTCAGTGCAGTTACTGTGGGATGCCTTTAGCTGCCCTTCCCCCTTAGATCCTGTTGTACAACTCACACATGATCAGCAAAGAATGGACCTCACCACTTACTATGGTTGCTTCTTTAGCTCTTGTAGTTGCATCTCGCATCTTCCTAGCTCACTATAGTTTGCATTTGTCAGCAATTCTAGGTGAACCTTGAATAAGGGGCACCCCTCTACCACCCTGCTCCCACTCCCTTGTCCCCATGAGTCCAGGGCATGCATGGGCTGTTAGCAAGGCTAAGAGTCACCTGTCCATAGTTCCAGGGACACAGGTAGATCCAGTTCTTGTTCCCTTGGTAGATGAAGCCGTAATCGTTCATGACATACTCCTGTCTCTGAGGCTCACTGTCCAAATAGACAGCATCCCCTAGGAATCAAAATAGGGGATACTAGGGATAAAAGTCCTCTTGCCCTTCCTGCACCATTCCTGTCCTCAGAAGGTCCCATGGAAACTGAGCTCTGGGAAGGACACTGGGCAACACCAAGGGGGAGCCTTGGAAAGACCCATCTCCCACCACACCACAACACCAGTAACAGGCTTAATGTTGGCATGAGATGGAATAATAAAAGTTTGTCTTTGGTGGCATCTCTTGATTTACAGACCATGGTTGCATCATAGTCCCATTTTAAAAGTTGAGAAAACAGGCTCAGAGTGGCTAGGTGACTTTCCCAAATGACATGTAAGTACAGAGCTGAAATTTGAATACAGAGCCCATGTGACTCCATATCCCACGCTCTTTCTGCTACACTTACCTAATCCTAGTTGGAAAAGAGTAAATCATAATTGACATTGACCTATTACTTTTCCCATTACTTTCGTGGGAAATTTAGACTAAGGAAAGTATTTAGGATGTATGCAAATATTTAGATATACTATTCATCTGAGTGCTGTTTATAATGTGGAAAAGCTGGAAACAACCTAAATATCCTGTTACTAGGGACTGGTGTGCATCTTCACCGCAGAATTCTTCACAGTATTCATATAATGTTGAAAAATTGGATATATTGATGGAGAAATATATACATAATATATTAAGTTTAGGTCACAAAATAATGTGTAAAATATGAATTGACTTTTATTAAAAATATATATGTATATGAACAAAGGATTTTGAAGCCTATTCCAAAAGATGTAAATAGTAATTGTCTGTGTATGTTTTCTTCTTTTTGCCTATTGGCATTCTCTAGTGTTACCATGATGAACATGTGCTGCTTTTATAATATAAAAATTATCTTCTTAAAATTAAAAACAAACAAAAGGCCATGAGGGCAGGTGTCCCTGGAACTGCCTGGAAGCCCTGCCTGACCCTGAGGTGAGGGTCTCTCTGTCCTTCCTCAGAGGCAGCCTCAGACACAGACTAACCGGATGCTGGTGGAGGAGGACTCCTTGCAGAGATGCATTTTATTGAGGTTTTGGATCCTTGAGGCAAAAAGCTGAAGGTTCATGGTTGAAACCACACATCCCTCCTCACAGTTGGGGACAGCAGTGGCCTGAGCTACAGGGTCAGGCTTCCCAACCAATATCTGGGCATGGTGATGGAGACTCCTACCAATCCCTAGCCCCAGTGTTGGTTCTCCGTTGGAGGCCAGGAGTGTATGTGTGTGTGTGAGAGAGAGAGAGACAGACAGACAGACAGGGAGAGCAGACAGCTGGTTCTCCTTGGTCCAGAGTGACAGTCCCCTTCAGCTGGCTGGTGGGTGAGAGTTCTGAGCCATTCAGTGACAGGGAGGTGGGAGGTTGGAGTGTCAGCCAGGGTTCTGACACCACCAAGCAGGCTACATTGGGGTAAAGTTGAAGGAGAAAGTAGAGTGAGGAGGGATGGGATGGAGGGAGACTTTGTTGACTCAGTCCTCTGCTGTTCTTTACTCTCTCCCCTTCCTGCACTTCTTCCCACCCTCTCTTCCTGGCTTGTGCTTCATTCTGCCCACACCATGTCCTTTTGTCTGTCTATGTATCTACACACACACACACACACACACACACACACACCAGGTAGATTTAGAGGACAAGCCTTGTGGGATGGGATCCAGGATTCTAAAAACACCCAAGCTGAGTCTGAGTGGATGAGGTTGAGGATCTTCTCCTGCCTTCTCCTGATAACCCATAATGGACAATTTAGGTAAGGTAGAGAAATGGGCTTGTAAGTCCTGTTATCACATAACTGTCTTTACCTTCAGTTGCCTCATCCATGAAATGGGGTTACTTCTACTACCTTGGGTTTTTGGAGCAATTAAGTGAGTTAACATATGTGAACGTGATTAGCACATCATCTGACTCAGAGTAGACAATCATAAGTATTGGTTTTTATCTCTCTCCTTTCCTTCCTTCTACTTAAATTGGAATCCATAAACTAAATAACTTGTAATACACTGATTATTGTGCAAATGATTAACCACTCGGCTGCTAACCAAAAGGTTGGTGATTCAAACTCACCCACTGGCTTTTCAGGAAAAAGACCTGGCAATCTGCTTCCAAAAAGATTACAGCCAAGAAAACCCTATAGGACAGTCCTAGTCTGTCACATAAAATCACTATGAGTCAAAATCAACTCAAAGGCACCTAACAACAACAACAAAATCCAGATGTTAGACATTCTCGTTTGCTGTAGAAGATAATGTAAATCGGAATTTTTTGGAAAGCCATTTGGTGGTATCAATAAAAATTTGTATTTGACTGTCTAGAGGCAGGATGAGAAGGCACGAAGGGACAGGAACTGGTTGAATGGACATGGGAAATGCGGGGTAGAAAGGGGGAGAGTGCTGTCACATTGTAGGGACACATGACAATATGTATATAAAAATTTTGTATGAGAGATTAACTTGAACTGTAAACTTTCACCTAAAGTACAATTTAAAAAAAGGAAAAAAAAATTATATTTGAATTAGCAAATTTACTTCTAAAAATACACTCTACAATTATATTCTCAGAATTGTTTAAAGGCATAAATGCAGGGATATTCACTGCAGCTTTGTTTGTAAAGAAACAAAGAAAAACTTGAAACAGCCTAAATGCCCATAGAGAACTAATTAAATATATTTGGTTCATCCATACAGTGGAATAATTGTAGCTGTCAAAAAGAATGTACTATAGGAAAATATGCTCGAAGTTGAATTGTTACATGAAAAAAGCAATTTGATTGTACGACGAAAGGTCATGGAAGCCCCGTAGACACATCCAAACTCTCTGAGGGACTGAATTGCTGGGCGGAGAGCTGTGGGGACCATGGTCTCAGGGAACATCTAGTTCAATTGGCATAACACAGTTTATAAAGACATGTTCTACATTCTACCTTGGTGAGTAGTGTCTAGAGTCTTAAAAGCCTGTGAGCAGCCATCTAAGATACTCCACTGGTCTCACCCCTTCAGGAGCAAGGGAGAATGAAGAGAATAGGATACAAGGGAAAGATTAGTCCCAAGGACTAATGGACCACAGCTACCAAGGCCTCCACCAGACTGAGTCCAGTATAGCTAAATGGTGCCCGGCTACCACCACTCACTGCTCTGACTGGGATCACAAAAGAGGGTTCTGGACAGAGCTGGAGAAGGATGTAGAAGAAAATTCTAACCCACAAAAAAAAGACCAGATTTACTGGCCTGACAGAGACTGGAGAAACCCTGAGAGTATGGCCCCCGGACACCCTTTTAGCTCAGTAATGAAGTCACTTCTGAGGTTCACCCTTCAGCCAAAGATTAGACAGGCCCATAAAACAAAACAAGACTAAAGGGGCACAACAGCCCAGGGACGAGGACTAGAAGGCAGGAAGGGACAGGAAAGCTGGTGATTGAGAACTCAAGGTTGAGAACGGAGAGTGTTTATACATCGTGGGGTTGGTAACCAATGTCACAAAACAATATGTCTACTAACTGTTTAATGAGAAGCTAGTTTGCTCTGTAAACCTTCATCTAAGGTACAAAAAAAAA